AGAAATCCTAATTTATCAAACAAGTCACTTTTTTTGCACAGACTTCATCAGATCACTATTCATCTTTTTAGTTGTAACACGTTTGTAGCAGGTAAAGTTTCTGGACCAACCAGCGACACGCACATGTCTCATTTGTGTGGGTATAAGCTCACTGTACATGTACATCTGTAAAGCCTTGAAACCAAGTCAAAACTATCCAGTCTATCACTTAGTATATCAACTCAATAAACTTGGTGTCTGAATAAATTTCAAGGAATAAAAGATGCACTAACCCACCCCCGAAAAACCATAATCAAGCAAGAGCCCTGAACATCTGTTAAAACTCTCTGAACTTCAATCACCTGCAGCGTTAGTTACTAAGGTATCATAAATTCATCCATTAGGCCAAGTGTACAAGGAAAGGAAATTACGGATGTACACTGACATGTACTCACATGTACAACGTGTCTTTTCATTCCACACTTGTGCTCATTAGAAATTTTACTATAATTATCATGCAATTTGTACTCAAAACATTTAAACAAGTGTAAAGTAATGAGAAACTGATTTGAAATTTCTGGCAATGTTGCTATCACACTTTTAATGGACATTTGGTTTTTAAGCTGCTGCAAGTAGTGAAGTTTTCCTTTTCATTTACTGGACAATAAAAAAGCTCTGAGTGAAATAGGATACAGCACTTCAGGACAGCAACAGGTGTCCGGACTTCCTTTTTGCATTTCCTGTGTTCATGAGAAATTCATTTTAAATTCTCGAAAATATCATTACCAGATTTCTATTGGGAGAATTCCTTCAGAAACCAACATTCAAAATGGGCCAAGTTGCCAGTAAAATATCTCAGGAGACATGGCCCTAACCCTTAATAGCCTGCTCCTGTGCGAAACCGGACCCATTTACCTCCTCCCCAAATGCACTCACCTGTATCTGTTTGGCCTTGCTTTTTGTCAGACGTCATCATTAGCCTCTGGCTTAAAAGCGAGTCAAATGTGTAACACTGAGTGCTGAGTGTCTCTTTGGACACTCAGCACTTTCTGAGCGGCTCAAGAAGAAAACAAAAGACCTCGAGGCATAAAACAACAGGTCAGATCTCTTTGCCATCAACACCACAAAATGAGAAAAAAAAAAAATAAAAAAATTTAAAACAAAAACGTCAACAGCTCCACTGAACAACCCAAACTCATGAAGCGTTGATGCTGCCACACTTAAGTAGCCTCTTTATTGGTGACGATAACTCTACACATGTAGATGTGCGGATATGCATGTGAATGCACATGTATGCAGATACAAGTCTGAGAAATTCAAAACTAAAGTGGGAAACTTTGCATGTGGAAGACCCAACTTAATCAGTAAAAACTGCCACGTCCTACTCGTCCCGCCTGTGACTCTTCTTTGGTGTGCCCCATGGATGAGTGTCGTGTCCTGTGGTTGCTTTCATTGTGCACCTCAACTGTGGCTACCATCGCGTGGAAACATGGACCAGTCAAGCATAATTCTATGTTATGCATAGCTCCATGCTGTGACGCTTTGCCCTACATACCTGTATCTCATCTCGAGGAATGCCGACATTGTAGTTGCCCAAATAGGAGCATGCGCCGCTGATGTGAAGGGTTGGATGGAGCCAAACAAAAACTCAGCCCAATAGTGATCAAATAAGCATACCTGTGTTGAACTCATCGCATCAATCTACAATCCTGGTCAAATCTCGTTGGGCGCCTCACCCCCAGGCTCCCTCTCAATGTTGGTCTCACTGCACGGTCTGTGCTCCGGCTCGAGATGACAAACATTGACTGAGGGAGTGGGGGACCTAGCTGGAAAGGGTATGGCTATTGACACGTGTCCCAACAATTTTGTCCAGGATAGTAGCTCACAAAAAAATGCCCAACTGAAACATTAATTTTGATGGCCGTGCTATGCTCATCAGAAAAACTGCCAGAAACCTCTGCATAATCTTGAGCAACAACTTCAACATCAAGGACCAAGTGCAAAATACTACTTGTGCTGATTTGTTTCGCCTGAGAAACACTGATCACATTTGCTGAATTCTTGCCTTAAAAATGGTTGAACAGCTCATTCATGCCTTTGTGACGTCGGCGCTGGACTACTGCAATTCCCTCCTACGACTTTCAGCTTTGACAATCAATCACCCCACAAAGCATTTCATCCCGTATCCTGAAGTGTAATCATATCAATCTGATCCTAAAAGAACTTCATTGGATTCCTGTTCAGCAGCGCATAATATACAAAACCCAGTTACTGGCACTGCACCTCAATACATCAAACAACTCATCTCACCACACAGCCCACGCGTCGGTTGCCATTCAGTGATGTAAAATTGCCCACTGTACCACTAGCAAGACGGAGGGCATTTTGGGGACAGGATTTCTTGATCGCTGCCCCTTGTTCATGGAATGCTTTGTCGATTAGTCTAAGGACCCAGCCTGGCATTGCTTTCTTCAAATCTTATCTAAAAGCTTAACTTATCTGTTTGTTCATGTTTATACGCAGATTTCTCTCATGGTGCAGTGAATCAGTTTTTCACTACACAATAGATGTCTTACTTGTTGCAAACAAGCACTGAATCAGCAGAGAAGCAACAGGCAATTTCAGATCAATTTGAGAGTGCGCTGCATGTACACATGACAAACATGTACAGGTACACAAGATGCGCATGCATTGCACTACCATGAAGGGCAGGCACGCAAAAAAGCAACAAATTTTTTTTTCATGTCCTTGGCAACTGGTTTTTTCTGCAAAGAATCCCTGTAAGACTTGCCCATCCTCATACAGACAAAAGTGATACCCATAATAATGCTATCACTGGTCATTTGAAGTGGCCCCCACCGATGGCGAAAAGTGCTGTAATAACCATTACAGCAGAGCCTCTGTTTTTTGATAGTTGCTTGGTAAAGAACACAATGCTTTCCACCATTAAAGGGGGCCATCATGAATGCCTACTGACAGATCAGTGGATTCGTACCTATAGGGGGGGTGTTACAAAGTGAGGCAAAACGTCTTGTGCTCTGAGGTTACCGTACGTAAAGCATGATAACGTATATTTGTGCATAATTAACCAGCTCTCACCTCAGGTGAATCCCTGCAGAGGGCAACTCAGACAAAAGTTCACTCTAAAACGTTGATGTCCTTAATATTTTATTTTGTTTTTCCATGAGCTATTTTTTGTCCTGAGTGTCAGCATCCTTCAAAATTCATGTAAATGCAATTTCTCACATGTTGTTCTACTCAAAAAAGGGGGGGTTTTCATAACAAAATTTTTGAAGTCATGAACAATAAAATCCTCTTTCCCATTTCAAGTGTTCTCAAAATATTCTAGAACAGCACAGCACATGCTGATGACAGGAAAGAACAACAGATGCAACAGAGAAACAGAGATACATGTAGTTTGCTTGATCTGGGAAAGGAACCCTGACATCAATGACTTGAGGGCAAAACTTCTTCGTTCAATTTACGGTCGGGCATGGGCGATCATGTTACTACGCAATGAGAAATCTTTCTGAAAGAAACCATGTAGGGACTCAAAGATGTCACTCCCAGATTAGTACCGAGAAACATGAACCCTGATGTTCGGATTTAACGGTCCACTAGCATCACTCTCTGGACATTATGGAGCAAGACAGTCAATTAAGACAGAGCTGGAAGGGGAAATAATAGACAAGGAACTCTCTTTATGATTCCGGCTGAGAAAGTAACATCCACAATGCAAAACGCTACATAGCGATATACGGTGCTTTACTTTGATCCTTGTTTTCATGGCAAATTAAAGGTCAGAGGAAAAAAATCCCAATCACCCCAAACTACATGTACAAACTGTGAGTCATCTTTCCCGGGGATGCTTCTCTTTGATTTCGGTTTTTACCTTTTGCGAATATTTTTCCCGGGGGGAAAAAAAAATGTGCACTTGAATAGTCAGGAACATGTACAGATGTACATTAACCACTTGCTGCCGGGTGCTTTTAAAAATGCAGTGCACATATACATGTAAGGGCCATTTTCAAGATTTTCAGTTTTCAAAAATCTTCAAAAATTGACTGTTTGGAGGCTACTCTAAGCTGACAGGCAACCTGCATTGACTCTTGAGTATTTCAGCCAGGCCTGCTGCCCTGTAAAGAGAGCCCAGAATCTATGAGGTGTTGCATAATTTCCTTTGTTCCCAGTGAACGTCAGTAGTGTCTTTTCAAACACGAATGGATTCGCATGCAGCAGTGCTGTGTTGCTCATCAATGGGGCCCTGAAGCACTTTTGTCCGTAATGCTAATCCGTGGGTGCGCAATGCCCAAAACAGTGGTATACTGTTTAAAAACAGTGACGGATTACCTTCAAAAATGCAAGCTGAAAAATGAAGGCAATTCCCAGCAGCAGGTCTTTTGTTCCGAGTACGGTCTTCTGTTACATGGACCAGCTGTTTTGTCCCATTTCAGGCACCCTGGCTCCGCTGCGTATAAACCCATGGTGCTCGAAATGGGGTTCCCCGGCAGAAAGTGGTTAAGCCATTTTGGATGATTGCACACTCTTTCTAGAAGTATCTGAAGACTTCCAAGTTTCACATGTTTGTGAAAGAATGGCAGAGCTAACTTGAACATAAATCTCTCCAATGCCGCATTTTACTCACAAATTTTCATTCAAAATGGTGCATATATTTGAAATGCCTACATCTTCCGCAGGAAAATCTTTCTGACTTGACCTCTTTGAGATACCATCCTAGAATTCCATACGCCTGTCTTTTTGTCAAAAACTTCCTTCCTTTAGAATCGACACATTGAGATGCCCAGGACAGTGAGAAATACATGAACAGCCACACCGAATACACACATGTACATGTGCATACACCCAAACTCACACATCAGGCTGGCCAGCTTATCCCTGCGATGTTTCTCACACATGCACTTGAATTCAGATGAAACGCTCCCAAATAATTAGTTTTTGGTTACTTTTTTTTTTAAATGCTTCATCCCTATCCATCTCACTGATGACTCAAGTTGGCATTTCAACCCCAGGCACCCATTTTGGTCAAGCTTTCTCACTGTTACAAATTTCGAACATCCGTTTGTTTCCCTCCAAGGGATTTTGCTGAATTTGATTTTGGTTTTCCAGTGAATGGTTTTTCCCTCCTTCCGGAGGGCCCAAATTTGACAGGAACCCTAGAACTTGAAAGAGAGCAATCAAAAGAGGTTGTTCTCCATTTGAAAGCATCAGGTTCCCCTATATACTGATGGGCAGAACAGGGTTCCCCGGTGGGCGATTCTTCTTGAAATGAGACACCAACCGTGAGAGCCACAAACGGCATTCCAGAGAACATCCATGTGAAGGGGGCACAAATATAGGCTCCGTTTCATTCCCCCGCCCCTTCAGCCCAAGCCGGAGATGGCTTGGAGCAGACAACTGTAAGTGGGCTCTTAAATTGAAATTAACGTGAACCACCAGAGGATTTTTTTTCCACAGTTCAATTGAAAATCTCACAGGGCTATTTCTTTCTCTGGCCAACTCCTATTATCCACAAAACCCAAGGAGACCCGGCGAGTGAATGCACGCAGAGTTCGTGATAGGCTTTCCTTGATGTTCACTGATGAAGTGTCTTGTCTTAGATGGAGTTGTTCCCCCCGGCTATTCCTTTCAGTTCCCAAACCTGAACAAGATGCTCTTTTCACAAGACAGGTTTTTAAACGTGTCTGGGTCTGTTATCATTTTTTTAAACGTTTTCTTTCTTTTAAAGAGCAGTGCAGTGAGAGAACTTGGGGTTAAGTGCCAAGGTGCTGATGGGTTAGAGTGTCTTAGCAAGGCTGTTGCTTAGGAAGGAAACAAAGGAAGCGATAGGGAGTGCTTGGAGGCAAGTCCACAAGAAAAAAAAGTGATGGTACGGGAGCTACAAAATGGTGCAAAATGGCACAAAGAAAAGAACGGGGAAAAGAGAAAGAAAAAAAGGGGGAAGGAAAATGAAAAGGCAAAAATAACAGCCTGATGTACACCAGGGAAGGCCAAAAATTATTTTTAAAATGAAAAAATTAAACTGAGACCTCTTTAACAAACATGTTTAACCACTTGCTGCCAGGTGGTTTGAAAAATGTACTGCACATAATCGGGACAGTTTCAAGATTAACTGACCTTTACACCCACACGAATGACTGTCTGGTGGCTACTCTAGTCTGACAGACAAAATCTATTGACGCCCGAGTATTTCAGTCAGGCCTGTAGCCTTGAAAAAGAGCCCAGATTGTGCAGTGTTATATAACTTTCTTTTGTTCAGGAACCTGGCACAGTGCGCTGCTGACCTCTGTTCAAAAGAGGCCAGAGTAGCATGCAGCGGTGCCTGTGCAGCTCATCACTGTGGTAGTGGAGTGCTTTTGTCCCCAGTGGTAATCCACTCGCACTACCGGTAAATGCCCCAAACCGTGGCATACTGTTTCAAAACAAGGCTGGATTATCTCCACTATTGAGAGTGAAAAAATGTTGGTAATGGCCAGCAGCCTGGTCTTTTGTTCCGAGAACAGTTTTTTGTCACCAGGCCCAGTTCCCTTTTTCCGATTTCGGAGACCCCTGGCCAAGCGTATAAAGCATCCATGTCCGTAAACCCCGGCGGCAAGTGGTTAAAGACAAACAAGTCGCCCTCTCAAATTAAGAGAAAGATCTCATACACAATGATGTTAATCAAAGATTAGATTCTGTAAAACTGCAGTTAATTTACCCCCCCAAAAAACTTCAGTTTTTCCATCTGTACATGCAATGTTTGCAGTGTGAACTGGTGCCAAGAGTACTGTCTGCGGAGTGTCAATATAATGTTTACTGGAAGAAATTTGTTGCAGGTGCACTTCTTCCATAGGATAGTGCATAAAATGCGCAGCCCGCTTGTCATCCATTCCATACCTGCCAACATTCCAAAATCAGAAATATGAACACTATTTCTGAGTGCAAAAATAGTTTACAAGTCCAGAGATTGCTAGTTATACGTACCTGCCTTTATTATTATTACTGATATTGCAGGAAACTAACAATTAAAAACACAAAAGCAACACATGTTGACTTTTTTTTCTGGACCAGCACAGATGTTTTCCTTTCAAAAAGTTTTCAATTTCATTTCAAATAGTGCCCTCTTGTACCGACCTTAATTTTTTTTTTCCAATAATCAGAAGGTTCCGATTTTTGGGTGGTCTGTAAAACTGACAAACCGGTACAATTCTGATTAAATGGAAACAGCGGGCAGGTATGCCTATCCTAAGATGTGCCGTGCATGCTAAAAGGGTTCCTTGCTTGGCTGGGGTTGGCAATAACATGAGCACGCTGGAAACCGGGGACTAGTAGCGGTTCCTGTAAATGATTTAAATGATTTCTCCAAGTCACAGCAACTGACTGGGAAGTGGCCTTATTTGCCTAATGTGAAGGTTAATACATCTTGTCACTTTTCTCAAAAAGTACGCACGGAGTCCATATCCGAGCTGCTAGGTCAACCGTCAAAACATGCATGATGAACAGGCAAGGGTCTTATGCAAATAAACAAACCATGAATATTCACGTGCAGTGGCTGTGAAAGGGATCGGAAGCTCTGTGACCGATACCTGCTTCGTGATGCCAGGACGGGTCTATTTTGTCAGGCGGGGATGTTGGGTCAGTGACAAAGGGAAGGGAAGGAGGAGGAGCCAGCGACAGCCAATGGGAATCCTCATCAGACAGGATGATGTCATATTCAGACAGGAGGTTGTCAGACATGGAAGTGAGGTCTGGAGCAGAGGGGATTGGGATGCAAGGCGAAATATGTGAAGAAACATTCAAATAGCTGGGCTAATGGTCACTGCTAATGCCAGCACTTAACCTACACCATGCAGGCTAATGGTCACTGCTAATGCCAGCACTTAACCCACACAGTGCAGGGTACTGGTAGTTACAGTATTTTCAATGTCCTCTTTTGTATCCTGAAACTTAACAATAAAAGCACTGGTTGTGAAATCATGATTCTCACCACAACTGCGTGCAGTTTTCAAAATATACACCACATGTCATAACGACCAAAGAGTAGAAATATCTTCTCCAATATCTTTAACAACACAGCAATAAACATTTAAAGAGAAAAAAGTTAAACAACATCAAAAAAATTAACGGCACTTTCAGGCAAACAAAAGGACACTCACCTTTGGAAAGGTTACTTCTGATCCTCTGCTCTGATGGTAGTCGCTGAGAGGCCTGCACTGAGGTTGCTGACGCTCTGGTGACAACTGCTTCCTCTGCGATTTTCCGCCAGTCCTCCTTGTCCCCTGTCCCCTTCCTGGACGGGGCCACACCCACCCCTCCCACTACAGGCTGGGCCGTGGAGTCAGCCGGCCCTGCAGTAGCTGCTCCGGCCCCGGTCATGGTGAAGAGCTGGCTACCGGCCTCATTGCGCAGGGCCAGCAGCTCGTTGGACAGCCGGCTAAAGTTGCTGCTCTGCTCGTCGCACTTGCGCTCCAGGTCCTTGACCTTTGCTGCCAGCCGGGAGACCGAGTCATGGTGGTCCCGCTTGGCCACTTGCTGCTCCTGCCAGTGATTCAAGAATAGGAAAACACAAAGCTGTCAGGAGCACATGTGACTAAAGTCATCACCTAAAACCAGAGTGGTTCAGTCCCCTTTCCAAAGCCTCGAGTATTCTGCCAACATTTGCAGCAGACCTTCAACTTGGATAAACATCCCCGTCCTTTCACATGTACTGCCATGATCATAACCTTCTTCTGCTTAACTGGACTTCAGCCTGAATATTCAGGCCAGTTTACTTTTCCTCATAAATTCTTCTGCACTCTGAACTGAAACGGGACAAGAAATAGCAACACAGAACAGACTATGCTCTTAAAATATGCATGGTTTTTACATGCAACAGCCAGAGAAGTATGGTAATGTGGGCATGGATTCTGATAGGTACATGTAGCTGGTTCACAAACTGTTATAGTTTACTGTTTGACCAAAAGTCAGGTGCATATGTTCTGAGAGAGTGTACTCACCAAGGACTACACAGATAGGCATTTATTAACCATTTGCTGCCAGGGGACCCGCTTTCGAGCACATAGGCTTTATACACGAAGCCGGGAGCCCAAAACCGGGACAAAAGAGCTGGGCCTTGTAACAGGTTCGTGAACAAAAGGAGGTTATAAAACATCGCACAATCTGGGCCCTTTTTACAAGGCTGCAGACCTGGCTGAAATACTCGGGCGTCAATAGATTTTGTCTGTCAGGCTACAGTGGCCACCAGACAGTAATTCATGTGGGTGTAATTGTCCATTAATTGAAATGATGAATTTTTGAAGATTTTTGAAAACTGAAAATATTGAAATTCGCCCGAATGTGTGCACTGCATTTTTCAAACCACCCGGCAGCAAGTGGTAAAGAGCAGATTAAATATATACCTGTACACATATCTTTCTAGCATATGAAGTGATGAGACTTTTGCACAAAGTAAAAGGTCAAGCCATCTGAAGGAAATTAGATGTATATCAAACAGTGATGCACCCTCAGTACCACTATGATGTCGGTGAGGGCTTTGATACATGAACCCTTGTCTGACAGCTACATGTATCTCTTACTCTTATACGTGTAGCAAACGTTAAACAGACAGGGTACCTGTACCTTGGGCTACACATGAATCAAATGGATATCTGAAGTGAAGTTTAAATGTGTCCTCGGGGGACCTTCTTTTTTTTTTCTTTTGTGGCTAACATGTTTTCTTTTCTGCAGGGGCAGTGAATGCAGCGGACACAATAATGAAAAGAAAACAGCTAGTTTGGAAGGGGCAGGAAGGGCTTGCAAAATTTGGTTTTGGGGCTGTTTACAAAAAAATCTGCCAACGTGACAACTTGCTCAATAAAGGGTACGTTTTTTTGGCTGGCAGGTCCAGTTTACAATCTACATGTACCTGTGGCAGAATATGTAACTGCCTCATCTGTCCAGCATTTCAGATATTTTTATTGTTCAGTTCACAGCCTCCTCATGAGTGTTTCTCTGCATCTGTGCATCCCCGAGGAGTGAAAGACACGAGACCAGCCTTCATGTGCATGTTTTCTGGACCTGTTGATATTTTCACCCATGAGTTTTCAGTTGAGTTCTTGGTTTCTCAGACAGGGATGGCGTGAAACTAATCTGTCGGCATTTCCTTGAAACCATTTTTCTCACAGCGCAATAAAATCCACCTAACATGGACCTGCACAAGTATCTTAATTACGTTTGTGTCTGAAAGAGAGAGCTTTGGACTTAGACTGACCTGTTGGTGTTTTCTGGTATCCATTTTTTTTCATACGCTGCAGCAGAGTGAGACCCAACTTGCGAGTCTTTCAACTAAATTTCTGGGTCTCTCGAAGGGTTGCAGTGAGACCAAGTTGGGGTTTTCTGATGTAAAAGTTCCATGGGAGCTGAGCAATGAGTCTTTCAATTGAGTGTTTACAGTGTAAGCATTTCAGACAGAGAGGGATGGAGGGACACCAAACTGTTGGGGTTTTCTGATGGACAATGGCCATCCCGTACATGGAGCTCAATGAGACAACCCACAACAAGTCTTTCAGTGGAATTTATATCTCAGCGAAAGTGTAATCCACCCTGAGCTGAAGTGCGCCCTCACCGGCGAAAGAAAGACAGATGGTGGTAAGTTTTCCCACTGGGTTCTTGCACGCATTTGGCATGCACACAAAGACCATCAATTTCAGACTAAATTTGTTGCGCGTACTCAGCGTGCTGTACATCAAAGGTGCATAAACTTGCATGCCTATACGGTGAGTGCATTCAAAGTGACTGTCAATTTCATTTCAACACATGCCCTCTTTTATTCCTGCTCGGAGCAGATTAAGGCCAACCTTGTGGGAGAATTCACAACCACTTCTTCCTCACATATCTCAATGACATCCAATCAGTGAGTGTCGAAGTTGAGATTCTGAGAGTCTCAGTCTCAGAGAGACAGGCTATGACCTACCTGTTGCAGTCTTCTGATCTCCTCCTGTTTTTCCCTGAGCTCCCTGATAGCCTGCTCATATTCCTGTTCTAGAGCTCGACGCTTCTCCTCCGCGTCCTGCATCAGCTGCAGCCAAAGAAAAGAACATTCCATGAATGATGTATCTAAGGTCCTTCCTTCGCTTGCTGTTGTATGTCATCAATTTTGTAATGAATGTAAACAGGCATTCATAAATACGTATACCTTTGACAGGTTCAACAATGTGTAACATGTATTAAAGATTTGATAATGCCTGCTGCGACTTGACAATGCCCGCAGCCTAACAACGAGCTAGCACCTGGATACCAGATAGTTTAAATCCATTCCTATTGGTCAATCCATTCATACTGGTCTGTATGCGTTGCAGCACGCAGAACCCATGCGCAAAAAGCCAATATAACAAGATCTGTCTCGACTGCTTGCACAAGAAATATACCATAAAATGGATGAGTGTGTTCGGGAAAATGAAAGTAAAATTCTTGAACAAACTCTTTGGAAAACTATCATATATTGACCTCTTTTGACTCTCTGACTGAAAGGGAACAAATATGTACTTGGTTGGCTTAAACTTATTAACATTTAAGACTGGCTCAGGCGAATGAACGCTAATAATGTCCTCGCCTGCAGCTCAGGCATTAGTCACATCCATTCTCTGGAACCAGTCTTCAATGCATGTTTAAAGGGATATTGAAGAGAAATATTTCACAAAATTTTACTAAAACCCTTGAAATTGCACCTTTGGGTTCAATTAACCTAATTTAAAATTTTTGTTTTGCTATTTTAGTCCATGTTTTAGAGATTTTTAAGCTAATTCCATTTGAATCTCAACCACGGCACTCAACCTCAATGTTGCATTGATTTGAACACAAATTTTTCCAGATTTTTTCAAACACTGCTATTATAGCTTTTTTTTTGCTGTGTAAGTACATGTACATCCGGTGAGCAAACTTTTCTCAGAAATGTTTCAACGGCAAATTTGGAGGTCAAAATTTAAACATGAAAACATTAAAAGTTAACAGTGAACAATTCCTGGATTTACATGTACATAAAAGCAAAAGTGCCCTCACTTGTCGAGAAATGCTTGATCAATTTTGAATGCTTAGAAAGTGCACTTTTCAGTTCACAAAACTCACAAAAAGATTTCAAACCATCTTCATATACCGAAGAGCACAGACCTACACAAAAATAATCCTCATAAAAATTCATTGCATGGTTCCTTTACGACTGGCCAAGCACATACACATATAATATTAAATAAGTGTTGCGTACAAGAAATCTTTTGAGTAAACGAAAGATTCACAGTGCAATCAAACTATTCAAAAACAGTGCTGATTTCAATAACCTTAACAAAATCACCCTTTCAGGGTCTAAAGCTTTAAAGATCTGACCCTTTTTTCTCCTAAAGTCTTAGATTTGTGCCTGATATCTTCAATGCTAATTCCTGTTTAATATGTATCCTGACACAATGCTGTAAGAAAAGTGAAAATATTTAAGAATCATGAAAATGCTCAGTGGTTACCCCATACATGTATAACATGTTTGGTCGGGAAAGAGGAAGGAAAAGTCAATGTATGAAAATTGCCAATAAAAAAAAGAGAAGAAACGAAGAAAAAATAAAGATCAAAAAGAATACTCCCACATGGCCAAACATGCTCGCGTGTTGTGACATCAGATTCATTTGCATAAAATTTATTTTAACTATACCACGCACCCTCTTTAGTCCCCTGGTGTTAAGATGTAATTCCAATGCAGACGTAAAAAACAGCATATGACATCCTGAACAACAAAAGATTCGTTTTCCTTTGAGGGGATGGGGAGATTTTATACATGTACATGTATGGCAGGTTGTTATACATGTATATTGACAAGTTTTGATTCGGGCAAACTTGGGTCATTCTCATGAAACTCAGCATGCTGTGTCCCCCACTGAAAGCATCATGTGAAGAGTGGCTACATTGACAGAATCACTGACCATCGAGCAAACGACACTTCTCTGTCCATTCCTAGACTGCGTTTTGTCAAGTCCCAAAAGATCGGGAGGGCGGAGGGGCAATACTCAGCCTTTAATAAAACATATGATAGAACAAGAAAGCAGTCCTCCCAGCCCGGTGCTTCCTGATGTCACAAATGGCACTGTGCATTGAAAATGTCCTCAAGAGCCCCCAAATGCCCCGGCCGAGAGTTCCTTGTCAAAACAATGCACCGGGGCTCCCGCGATGTTCGGAGAGCACATCCGACAAGTTGGGAATCAATTTTATCAACAACCTTCATGAAGCCAGCGGAAGGAAGGGGGGGCAGGAGGGGAGAGTCAGTCCTGTTCCCAATGCTGCAGAGGGGCAGCGTGACTTGAGGGTTAGTAACCCTTTCTTGAGGCTTTGCAGCTCAACAGCAGAAGTAGGTTTCTGTTTTTGACTCTATCCCCTATGTGACTCAGCAAGGGCAGTCTACTCCTCAGGCTTGACTGAGTATCATGTTAATTTATTGAATTAAAGTTTTGTGGCAGAGCCACAACAACTTTTTTTTTTCACTTCATCAGAGAGTCAATACCTCATTGAAGACAGATCTAAATGTAGCTAGAACAGGATGTGAATCTTCACTGCATAGGAGACTGCAGGTAGCAGGTCAATTTAAGTTGTTTGTCTGCACTCCTATATGGGTGCATTGTACATGTCATGTACCAACGACACCAGCCACTGAAACTCTATGATCCTTACTGCATCATTTTACATGCCCATACGTTCTGCAAGCAGTCCATCTTAAGACAGAAAACCCAAAACACTGCCTTGATCAAAAGCAGCCGTGTAAATTTCCAGCGATTCCCTCCGCTGCCTTGGGCCACGAGGTTGATGAAAATTGTACTCAATGTGAATTCGCCTCCTGCGCCCGCAGCAAGCAATAACACGGAGTGATCAGAAAGGATGCGGGGGGGGGAGGGAAAAGACAGAGAGAAAGAGCGAGCAACACTTGCCTAGTGCAGACAGACTAAATTCAATTTACGATTCAGCAACCACATGTTGTGGCCCCCGCAGTGTGCAATTCCCCTCATGATTAGCTGTTACATGAGACACAAGGTGTCTCCCTCACAGTGATTTGGATACAATGCGTATAGCCAGCCGCTCAAGCCGCGAGTGGTTATTCGACAGACACATTTTTTTTTTCCTTCTTGGCCAAAGAGATGATCTAATTATTGTTGTAAAAGTTGCCAGCGGCCAGCCTGAGAGTGAACAACCCGTCTGCTAGCGTCTGTTGGTTTGGGGACCACAATAGCCCCGGCAATAGCCTAAAGAAGAACGAGACCAAAATCAATTCCATTTTATAGACAGAATTCAGACTGTTTTTTAGAGGGGGTGTAAAAATGGTCCTCACTCCATATTATAAAGGCCTTAAGGAATTGTTCCCCATCCTTCAAACTGTTTGACATTTAGAAATACTCACGAAAAAGTAGTTTTGTAACATTGGTAATTTGGAGGAAACCAGCAGACAACATTTGCCCTCAACTGGGCCACACAGGGCTGCATTACAGGTGAAGGAATTAACAGAAATCAAGGAAGCAAATAAAGTTCTGCTTCTGGTTGCCACTTTCATTTTCAGCACGGAGTATGTGAACCTGGAACCAAACACGAGTGAGAATCCAGGCTTTCCATAAACCTACGGACGCTGCAATTTTATCATATTTTCCCAAAATGTGGCCTTCTTTGAAGAAGGGTTCAAACCATGGGATTTCTAGCTGTTTCTAACCGTTATGGTCACTAAATCAACCACATGCTACTGATGACCCAATTCCTGAGACCCTTTCACATTCTCCTATTTTTGAAATCAACGTGGATCGACCATGAGCAGATCTTGCCTGGACTGAATTAGGGTTAAAGCAAGGTGTACTGCTCAAGCCAGTACGCATATCCAAACACAGGTCTGCAGTAAGTTCTCATTTCTCCATGGCAGAGCCTATAAATCCAGATCCTTCCCAGGGCTGAAGTTTGTTTCACCTGTGTAGATTGAGAACCACTCCAGCATAAAAGCTGTATTGGATTCTCGCCAGTATCAACTAGGGTTACAGAAAATTACTGGGCTTGACCCAGATCCTATATTTGTATGAAAGGGCTTCGGCTACAATGGAAACCTGATTTGATCATGTGGGAAATCAGGACGAGCCGAAGATTTCAAGCCATTGAACAACTGTTTACACACCAGACTCCAGAGTGTAGACCCTTCCCCCCCTCCCAACCATGTAGATGATTTACCCATTTCAACCCTGGCACGGGCCTGCCGCAGGCTGGTAGTGCATTTCGCTCCTATGGTCAGAGACAACAGGCTAAAGCAATGATGACGCCTTTTCACACTAGACATATTTCGGGGTTGAAGCAGGGTTGAAGTGGGGTTGAAAACCGGCAGAGATTTACACTTGAAAATTGTCAACCCTGTGTCAACCCCGAGATTGGCTTCAACTCGGGTTGAAAATTGTTTGTACTCATTTCTGGGTTCAACTCACACTGATAATAAGCTCAATTCACATGAAACAAGTGTGAAATAATGCTCGGATGAATGAAGGGTCGAAAAAACACAGGGCAGCCATGGGCTCGCCTAGGATTGAATTCAACCTGGGTTGGGAGGCAGTAGTGTGAAAATGCCTCAAGACTGGTAACACCTTGAAGGAAAAAAAGTCCTTAATAACAAGCCCAAAAATCCACGATAAAATGTCTCAAAACAAAACCCTTGCTGATCACTTTGAAGTCTCAGTGGGATTGGAGAGTTCTAAAATGGCTACTTTGGATGCTGGGCAATGGAAAAAGGTGCTTTCATTGCTCATTGGGGACCAAATTAGAATTTTTAATGGGTCCTTCTGAGTGTAGGAAATATTGGCAGGCTGTCAGAAGGTGCTATAAGGTTGCACTTGCGACCAAGGCGGTGATCTATAATCTGTCAGAAGGAAGAAAAGGGGACACCAAGAGCCTTATTCAATCAGAGGCACAAATGCGACACATCTGATGGCCAGACAGTATTGGCGGGCTGCTCCAATTCGGTGGGGTTTGCTCTGAGCAGGTTTGCAAATCTAGGAGGCAAAGTAACATCCGCAGAGGGGCAGGGGGAGAACACTGGTGGTGTCGTTTGGAAGGTGTGGATATTTATGGGGGGTGGCCAGAAAGGAAGGACAAAAAAAAACAAGCAAACCATATATGAAATAACTTCCAGAGAAGAAGTTGATGAGAGAACATATTGGCTCCGAGCAACTTATTTCAGAGTCAAAGTCAAGTCCATCACAAGCCAACAGAAGCCACAAGCTGTTCAAACAAACAAACAAACAAAGCATTCCTTTTTTTTTCACTGTTCACCCTGTCACCTGTGACTGGTCTGACAGGACTTGTAAAAGGACTTCTGGAGGACTCAACTACAACATTGTCTCTCTCTTTTAATTAAATAACGGAACTCTCCATGTAGCTGATATATTTAGAAGTGCAGACATGGGCTCTCACTTTTCTTAATGAAGATGCCGTACTGTCTGTCCTGAGACGACAGAATGCTTCACTTTGCCAAAATTCTGGCAGCAGGTAAACTTTGAGACTGTATTTATGTGTCACTCACACTTCTACAGAGATTTCGAGGCTGCCCAAGATCAGTGGAAACTTGTGACCACTAGCAGTGGTAGTAATATCGGCGTTAACGGGACAATAATGTTTGTAGCGAAATCGATGCGAGAAGACAGCATCTAACCACCCACAGAGTACGCTAGTAATGCTATGCCATTTGTCTTCTCTCTCTTCAGCAACAGTTTTTGCTTTCACACAGCTGGTGAGGGAGGGGTAGAGAGAGTGGGGAATCAAGCAGAGCCAACGACGCTGGCCATCACTCGGGCCGGCTAGAAAACAAATTTACACTGTGATGCGATCAGTTTGTCTTTCAGAGGAAAGATGCACACTGCAACCCCCGGGCCAAGACGTGTTTGGTTACAGGTAGTCGTAGGACTTTGCAGCAGCAGTAGGGTGCTGCGGAGGAGACAGGGCTGAGATTCAATTAAACGCGGGCAGCCTCAGATGGGGATGTGTGTGCTGGACGAGAAATTTGATTTCATGGTTCTGGAGGTTGGACCCTGGCTAGTACGATCTGTGTATAGATTTGGCACTGGGTGTGGGGAGCCTTGCTCAGCAATGTTGTCTGCTCATTACAGCTTAATGAAACTGAGTCTTGACAGAGGGCATTAAAGGTAGCAAATGCAGACCTTTCCAACCTAAGCGGGACAGTGTCAGAAGGAGATGCTTATTATTAGCCAAATTCAAACAGGCAAAGCCAAGACAAAAACCAAACCAAGAGCCAAAGCCAATCTCATTCCAATCAAACCCAACTCAGCCTAACCTAACTCAACCCAACAAACCAAACCAATGAAAACTAACTAACCAATCAACAGGCAAACACACAGTGCAACCCCCCCCCCCCGAAAAAGGTATAAATTGTCAACCCTTGAATGTATGCGTATGGAGAAATGTTACGTGAAGATGAATGCTTGCCAAACAGCTCAAATCCAAACTGATGCGTTTAATAAACCTTTGGCATTTCCGGCACCTTCATGTCTCATCTCATCCTCTTAGTTCAAATCACCATTAACCAGCTTTACACAATGTAAAGGCCGGGCACTTTCATATATCTCCGTCATCTAAAACTCTTACATTCAGGAGGACCATTAATCACCTGTAGAGACATTTTGCGCCTTTCACATCGCATCATCAGTCAACAGCTTATGGCAGTTTTCACTCTGTTTCTTACTTGGGTTGACATCCCCGGAAAAAAAAAACAATTCCTGCATCAGTGCCGGGTAACCCCGGCAACAGGGAGATGAAAATACAAAGACAGAAGCCCTTTTCATGTCCAGCCGACAGCGTTAGTAGTAAGAGACAGCCACCCCCCCACTTTGACTCCTATCCCGATGGATCAGTTTGTAATGATGGAATGAGAAGCTGGCAAAGTTGCCGTCAAGGGAGCGGGACATGAGAAGCACCATAAATATTTGCAGGGACTTCGGCGAGATAACATTTGCAGATGCTATGGTGTATGTCCCAGGGGGTCAAGCAGGAAGCGCGATGTGAAATGATAGGGAGAAAACACATTTATTTTATTGGACAAAACATCTTTAAGATCCCTAACTCTCTCCAAATACACGTGTGTACTTGTAACGTCTGTGTCACTGACACTTTGCACAAACATCACAGTTATGTTATGCAACAGGACTTTAATTTACATGCAGCTGTTTAACAAATGCTAAACAAGATCCCCCGTTCCCGGTCCAATTTCATGGTGCCTCAGAAAAACAAACAGCAATATATTCCTAACAATCCAGACAGGGCAACCTAACTAAAATGCACAAGTTGTACGCGTAGGTGCTCACATAGTCATGTGACCATAAAAATGAGCAAAGAAATTGACTGGAGTGTTCCAGTTGATTTATTTGTTCATCTTCCTTAGGAGCAGTACATTTCTTAATGTGCATCCAGCACATGTATAATGACAATTTCAGGGATAAGATTATAGAATAGAAAAAATAACGGAGAGAAAATCCATGAAACATCAAGCAGTGGGGATTAAGGACATTTCAGGAATTTGAATAACAAAACAAGGTGTTGGCTCTCTCCATAATTGCTAATTGTATGAATACGTGTGGTGACATTTAAATCTTGTATATGGTTTTCTGCACAAAGCGCAAAAACAGACAGCAAATCTTAACTGATAAAGCCACTAAAAATCTGGCATTTTGGGGTCAAAAATCCCAACAACCATAAAAAAAACCTGACAAATCACACCCTAGGATTCTTGTTGCGTATATGTATGCAAGTTGCATTTCACAAAACCTTGCTATGAGCCTCGAGCTTGACCAAGAGAGGGTGCAATTTTCTAGGCAACGGAGGCACCTTTGGCCAGAAATGAACTTTGCTAGTTCGAGAACGACTAGGAAATGCAAGTGTTGCGGTCGCATCGCTGCCAACAAAATGAAGACTCCTCTTTTCACCCGATGAGGAAGGGTGTTTCTGCTCGAGGCGAATACAGAAAACAAACTACAATGCACTCTGCTCTGCACACTCACCGACAAGTCTCTCTCCAGCTTCTCAACTTTTTCGTGAAGAATGTCTCGCTCGAGGGCAGTGTTCTCAAAGAGCTGACGCTGCTCATTCACCTCCACTCGCAGTTTCTGGCATTCTCTGTTTACCTGAGAGCAGGGCAAAAACCAATCAGAAGTCATTATCACATGGTTACCCCAAAAGAACAAAAATGGGACTAGTACTGCAGGGGTAAGTTTGGGGAATGAAGAGACATTCTGTGAGACATTCCACAGAGGGGTTGTAACAATAACACTATGTACAGTCATTTGCAAAAGTTTAAGACCACCTGGAATTTGATTGGTATTTCTGTCACTGGGCCTGCATTACACTGTCTCATTGACTGATTACTTATCATGATTTTACAGGGGTGCATAACGTCAGTGTAGTGCTATTTACCCATTGAATGAAATTTGTTGCAAAGGCAGGTCTTGTATGACATTTTGTCTCCAAGGCAGCATGGGTGAAAAAAAAGCCAGTCTGAGCAATCAGAAATAAGGGAGGGCACACTGAATATTAGACTGTTAACATGTCAAATCATGGAAATGTAGTCAAAAATGTTCAACCAAGGTACCAAGGTTACACACTGAAAATAAACGTAAGTTGCCATGATTGATTGGTTTAAGTTTGGTTTTCCTTCAGGTTAATGCATTTTCTATGGTTGGTCCCAAACTTTTGCAAATGACTGTGCTTGTAGCACTTTTCAAAAGCTGACAAGGTACCGGGTATCTCTGCCAAATACGTAAATCCTGTGTTCATCTTACTCCTGTTACAAAGTACAACAAGCATATTGCTAAACGTGATAAAAAAAATTTAAGACAAAATCTTCACTCTCTCAAAATATTTCCCAGAGAGTGAAACAAGAAAATATTTCTTTAAATAAGAAACACGTTGAATGTTCTTCTGGGGCAGAGGCGGGAACATTTAATCTCCGAATTAGATTTTTTTCCAACCATTTTTAACAGTGAAGGAAAAACTGAACGACTGAACCTCTAAAATATCAAAACAGTTTGGTCAGAAATCCTGAAGTGGAGAAAATCTTGAGAAATCTACCCGAGAGTGGGTAGAAATGAATTTGCACTGCATACATTTGGCCAAGATACAGGTTTGAAGCACTATTTCAATACCATATGAGTGCAATTTCAGCTCAACACACACAGTTGTCTATTTGAAGTTGCCCATGGGGACAGCCTCCTGCAATTAAGATGTCTGACAGCTACAAGTCCAAGTTTCAGTCAGAGTTTCTGCTGCTGAGCCACTCTCACTCAAATGATGATATCTGAGTTGGCAGAGCACAGTGGATTTCTCAAGTGTAAATGTTTAAAATATGAGTATGGGGGGCATGTACTCTAAACGCACAATGCAGCTCAGGGGTTTGGGCCTGAAATCCAGGTTTTGTTGTATACTTATGTTGATGTATAAGTCTGGTTAACTTGTTTATTGGTTTAAAACGTATTTCATAATTTTGATGCCTACTCGTACGTGTCTCTCTTAAAATATGAATTGAAATGCATCATGTTGGCAAACAAGTTTTAGATGCAGGATGTAGCAACAAGTGCTCACTCATAACAGTAGTGTGAATTAGAAATCAAAGTATAAAAACTACACAGCAAGTCTGTCCATCTGGATCAAACTCTACCCGTACATGATGAGCATGCACACAGCACTCCGATGCCGTTATACACATATTAAATGTGATCCATCACGACAAAATGAGAGTAAAGTCGCATTCCCCTCCTTCCTTTTTTGAAGGTTCAAAGTCATATTGAAGTGGAGGTTCATTTGGGGGTTTTGAAGTATTTGGAAAGAATAACCTGTCTCCTATTTAATTCCAAATATTTCGCAGGATCATATAGTTCAAAATGTCCTTTTCACAGCAGTTTTGACAACAGTGTTATTGGTGCCTGGTCTGAAATGTTGAAACAATGTTGGGAACAAAGACGCAAAGCTGCCAGAATAAAGTCACATCGTCACCTTATACTTTTACCCTAAGCGTTCCATGTACATGCCATTGGAAAGCTCTTTTTCTGCTGAACTCAAAAATACCAATACAGTTGAATCTCGTTAATAAGAGCACTGTTAATACAAGAGTCTGCTTATAACAAGGAAAATCATACATGTAGGTCCCAATCCTTTGTTTATCATTGTTTTCATTCCTGATAATACAAGGTTTCTGTTATAACAAGGTAATTTGCCAAGTCCGAAGGGCCTCTTATTAACGAGGTTTGACTGTATCTCAATTTTTGAAAATTCCCACTTTCAGCTCATTTTGTGGTGACAGATCACAAATGTCAAGAAAATCTACAACGAAACAGCTACCCCCCACATGTATACGAACATGGGAGGGGCATATACACTCTCCTATGAAATGGTAAGATTCCCCCCTCCTGTATATTTATGTTAACTCCTCCCCCTCCCCAGTTGCTGCCATTTCTTGGCAGTACACAATTTTGCTGAATATCGCCAACTCAAAATATTTGTTTTCAAACATACATGTATCACACAAAGATCGCTCCACGCAGCCGATACTTCTGATAAGGGAATTACCCCTCGTTGCTTAAGCGGACAGGCTGGCATTTGCAAATATCACATCTGTCATGCTTTTGTCTGCCAGCGGTGCTAGACTTAGGAAGAGCGGGAAAAAAGGGAAGGAAAGAAATGGTGTGGGGGGAAATCCCCCAAATAATCAGATTAAAACCGTGGCCCTGGGGCCAGTGATGAGCCACTGCCATCATCCGTACTCATCTTTTCCTTGAGGTATGGAATATATTCAGGGATTAGAAGTCTGTTGAGTCAGGTGATAACGCTATTTGTTCTATGGGCTGACCTTTTCCACTTCGCAAGTTAAACCTAAACTGTAAATAAAAAATTTATAAGATGTGTGCCAAAAAGTACTCAGCTTTTGTCAGTGCATTTAAATAACATTTTACATGTGGATGCAGGCACGGGTATCAAACACAAAAGTTATTTGAGCGGTTCGATGGGCAAGCAAAAGCAGTTTACTCTGAAAGTTAAACAAAATGAAAAAAAAAGAACCTTTCCAAATTCTGCCAAATATTGACTAGGCATGACACAAAACAACGTAAAGGCCTATCTGTTGCCAACACGCAGCCGTGTTTGCACAGGGGTTGTAATTGCTCATCATTAAATTTAAGAACGTGGACGCCATTCCCACTTCAAAAGAGCAATCCACGGAGACACTACAAACATTTCTTTGTTAAACTCCAAGTAATTGCTGAGATACAGAACAGTACGTACACATCCAAAGCACTTTTCATGATGTATACTTGTAAATGTACTTGGTGTTTAAGTTGAAACACAAAACCAAAAACAAGACAATTAAACATATAAATGAAATTAAAATAAAATGTACTCAAACCCTAAAAACAAACAACCACCACCATCAAATGAAAATCAAACTACGAAACTGTCATCAAATGTGACCTTAGTCAAAGTCACCATGTCCACTTTTTTATGGCAAGCTCTCAACCTCCCTTCCAAATTAAAAAAAAAACTCACAAGCGGGGAATCAGTGTGCTGACAGAGACTAATTGTGACACAAGCCGGGTCCATCAATCATATGGTTAAAAGTGTCTGTGAGTCTAGACATGGAGGAGTGGAATCACCAGCTACTAGACACCTTACAAGCACATGTATTCCTGTGTTCTTGTGTTCTTTTGGTTTCACAGTCTCAAATTCATTCACTCTTTATTTATTTATTTATTTATTTCAATTCTTGATGTATACAGGTTAAACCGGTACACACACAAAAAACATAAGATTTGGCGAGAAATAAGTAAAGGACAATATCTAATTAGCTCCCGAAGCATTGCCAAAAAGGAAAGAATTCCTGCCAAAGGGCTTTCCAAACTTATCATATATAAACAAATATTAAACAAAATAGTGTGGAACCCTGCGAGCAACCACTCCCACAAACTTACACCCAGTATCCACGTGGATAAAAAAATATCCAGGTCATTTCTCAGTAAACCTCTGCAGCTCAGTGCCCCCCATGACCTGTTGGCATGTCTGTCAACAAAGAAATCCACCTACTGGGAGAGGTCAAATATCACCCCTGGGAATACTGGTCTTTCAACAGGCCCTACTCTACAGGGGTTACAGCTAGGTTAAAGGGACTTGGCAGTCTTGAAGGACATCAGTTGCTTAAGGATTACAAAAATGTTCAGCGCAATTCAACAAAAAATTTAAAAGTTATTAAAAAAATACGATAACCCGTATGCGTTTTTTATAACGGTCGCTTACGCAAGGGTTAAAAGTTTATTACACTGTATAAATTTAAGTCAAAACAATAACAACTAAGAGTTTAAATAAAATTTGAAATGACATGTATTAATTAAATTAAGTATTATTAAATACAAGAGCAAAACAAGTTAGAAAACATATATGTACAGTCACAGGGCTTTCAAATTAATTAGATGAAAAACAATTTATGTTGGTATTGCAGTATTATATAAAGAGGAGATTGAAAAAGTCAAGACCATAAACCCTCTTCCTTCCTGTGTACTTTAAACATGTTAAAAGCAGCATGGAACAGCCCCTTTCCCAGGCTGGACCTACATTAATCAGCGCCTAACCTTGCAATTTACCTGCTTCTGATTTTGAGAAGGCAAAAGGGTTTTGCATTGTTTCCAGTTATGACAGTGAAGAATATTCATGCAGGCAGTTTATGGAGGCATTTCATGAAGCATACCATTTAAGTGGAGGCGTGTGCATTTTCAAAACTGTGTACTTCTATTAGAAATTTCATGTACCCCAGAATGTTGAGAGACTTTAGTGTGCACGTGTCCAAGCAAATCTGTGTAAATTGAATGCTGACCGTCAAATATCATGTGACTGAAAATCCTCTACAGATGTAGGTTGGAGCAAAGTCTGATGTCTGTTTGTCGACCCCTAAACAATTCTTATTCTAAGCTTATCAACCATTCCATTACAGCAAACTGTTCAAAATTCGTTTTCACATAGAACAATCAAAGATATAGCACAACGGGTTAGTGTAGCGGTTCTTTCCTCGCTTTGCACCAATGAGGCCCGGGTTCGAGTCCCGGCTTGGCCCAGGCTTTAAATGCATTTGGTTTACAGTCCATACTCGCTCTCGCAGTTTTTCTCCGGGTACTACGGTTCCCTCCTGCCTCTAAAACTGGACCTTCTTCCTAACTCCGTAATGTGATGCTGATTAATAAGGTGTACGAATAAACGTACAATTATTGGAGATAATAGCCTGAGTTGCTGAAAACGCCATTAAAACAAAACAAAATAACAACACAACAGGTCCAGTGGAGAGCACACCGTCAACCGCAGCCGCTTCATCAACCCAAATAACATTACAAGCCCAGAGCAAGCAAGGCACTGGACTGTCCATAATGTGCCCAGCACGGCTTCCAGGGACTCTGATGTGCTGAGTGTCCATGGTGTGAAGTCTGCGTGTCAGGCCCGTGGTTCTAGCTCGTGACAACCATTCAAAACGTGTCAGTCTCGCACCACTAGGGTGTGTGCTGGCAACCAGGTTATAAGGACGGAAAACAATTTTAAAAACAAACTTGAAAGATGATGGAGTGGTAATTAATAGTAAAGCAATAGCCAAGATGAGAATCCAGTTGTTTGCTCTTGCCTTTTTTTTTTCAAGTTTATTTTGATTTAGTGCCATTTAGTTATTTAAGTCACTTCTCATACTGAAATATGGAAGGAGGCTTTTTTTTAGCAATCCTCCATCCTCAGCGCAGATGTTGTGTTATTTAAATGAGCAGCAATGTGACAATGTCTGAGCTTGCCACAGTGAAAGGAATGTGGCCTGGGGGCCGGAGCTTTTTCTTTTAACTAACAGAATGTAAGAAAAGGCCTCCCAATCTTCAGAAAGGTGGAATACGCTGACATACCGCTTCTGACATGCTTGTGTTTTGGATTCTAAAAAAAAAGACTCTTTATTGCAGTTTTCCTTCAAAGGGGGAAACTCCCCCCCCCCTGGCACTGACTTTGAGATCATTGGCACCATGGCAAAATGCTATGTACACAAACCAGTTATTTTCTCAGCATGGCTATTCTGTAGAAATGTTCAAATCTCTAGCTACCGTAGGATCACATAATCTACAATCAAAGTGCTCAAGCAATCCTGTCTAGTTTTCCCAGCATGATGTTTTCAGACTAGAAGGACTTGGATACAGCCCCAATGCATGCGTGCTGTTTGTGCTCACAACAAAGGTTGACAAATCAGTGCACAAAGCCAATTTTTGGTTCCTTCTTTTGTGGCGGCCGTGCCTTTATGGCGAGTCAAAAACAGCTTCTGTTTTTCTAAAGCGTACAGCAAGATTGCTTGTGCCAGGCATAAGTCAACTGACAAAGAGAGGAACGTCAAAAATGTCTTCATTCTGAAAAGCGGACAAAAGACTCCTCTTTTTGGTCCAACGGTGCCTTTACAGCAAGTAAAAGAAAATCAAATTGTTTGCACCGGGCACGAATGGTCCTGACAAAGACGCGTGTCAGCTCTGAAGGAGGTAATAAGTTCAATTTACCAGTGGAAATTAATTTACATTTCCAAGGTCAGTTTTTTTTCCTGAGAGGAAATAAACGTCTTTGTTGTCATTGAAACCCTCTGGCAAAAAGCACGTTACACAGGTTTTATCTGATTATCACATGTAAATGGCCAATGCATACACCTCGGCCCACCATACAATGACTACATGCGCTGATGATCAATTACTGGTTTCCACATGAAAATTAGACAGTTGCCATGACGAGACTGTCTTTGATTCGCATATTCAATTGAAATAGTCACCCGACAAGTAGCCAAGGTTATATTCTGATTGAATAACTCCATACTAACTTTTGATGATGGAACACACTTTGGTTTGCGAGGACTATATTATGACGCGGTAACACAAAAATTGGAAACCATCACGTAAGTTCTGACCTTCAACAGTTATCTAAAGAAAACAAAATCCGAGACAATCTTATGAATGCTGAATAAGCCGAATTTAGATATAAAACCTAATTCAGTGTCCAAATAGTGATTTTCTTCCAATTTAATATTCTTATTCAACGATGAAGGTAACAAGATTCTCAATTACCTGCTTTTCCTTTCAATGTGACTTTTTAAAGGTAAAACTGTTTCATGAAATCAACAAATACATTCACAAAAAGTACACAAGTACAGGACTGCAGAATTCTTTCACTGCTTTGCCAATTCAAATTAAAAGATGAAACAACACATAACAAATAGCTTAATTTTGTTTTACAGATCATAAATGAGGTGTCAGGATTGTCAGGTCTTTATTTTCCAAAGCTGTGTATTTTGAATACGTCATGAAGCAAAAGGCAATGTCTGTGTTTGCTGATTTGGGGCTCACTTTCCACCTCAGAAATCCACTAAGTCCGATGGTCACAGAAATTCATGTTAGGACTTTGCCGGTCATTAAACGCTTGCTTCCCTCGCATTACGTGGTTGTCGATAATTTCCCCGGTCAGTCTTTCGGCATCCACCGCAAAGGCAACTATAAATGGGGGATGGAGCTCAAAAATTGTCTTCTTCAATCTCATGACACACCTCGTTAAAGACCAAAAAAACCCAACGTACCACAAATTCTCATTAAAAGCACGTTCCAGTGAATTGCCAATGAGAGCTTTTAGGGATATAAGGGATAAGAATAGAGGCATGGTCTACTTTCCATTCAGATGTGTAAAAAAAGAAATTGGACGCTGGATGTAATCTGTCGGAACACATTTTGGAAATCTTTTAGATGTGCGCTAGCCATGCCTGGCTTAAGAGCCCCACGATCCCAGGGTTTAATGTATTCAGCAATTAAAACCAGCGATTACGATCTTTGAGACGGAAGCTTCCTTTTTTTTCCTCCCCGATTTCACTTTCCATTGCAAAAGAATTCACGAATGGATCCTCCCTGTAACAGCAACTGATCAGGAAAGAGGCAGGTCTTTTGAGGCACTGTCGGTGCGACAGGGGTTTTAATATTTAATGCGTGGTCGGCCGATGTGTTTCTCAGTAGCGAGGGGGGGTTTGAGGCAGACCGGGCGAAACCAATGACGGGAGGCCATCACTTATTATTAAATTTGATAATAATCTGTCAGCGATGGTTTTGATCAAATACTATATGCCCGGTGATTTATGGCTGGTGGGCTTTCAGTCTGATACATAAACGTCTGTGCTGATGCTGCACAGTGAAAGGTCATAAAGCTGTTCGTGATAAGTCGTCGCATAAGTCGAATTCAAACTGAATAGTTTAATTTTTTTCTCCCTTTTTTTCTTAACAGAGTATTTCTTGTCATTACATACAATATTTCTCCAAAGTGCAAGGGCTCACTGTGTCTCTGAAGACTGATGAAGCTGATGGGATGAGAACCCAGAATGATACTCAGGGAACATCTACAGAATAAGGTAGAGACTGAGAAACTCAATCCGCAAGTCAGTTTGGGCGGATCAAACCCCCTGTCACAGAGGTGGACCGTATTAACAGAAAAAGTATTGCTGCGTTACATGTACATGTGTATTTTAAGCAAATAACAACCACAAACAAAGCGAGAGAATTTCCCTTGCAAAAATAACTACTACAATACATACAATGTATGATTTAGAAAACAAGTTTTTACATCATTCTGGTATACAGTAGAGGACAGCCAGGCAGCCTCCTCTGAAAACTGAGTGGTTTAGTATTACTGGCTCCAGATTGTGGACGTGTTTGCAGTAAATCATTCCAACATTCGCTATGCTCAAAACTGTGCAGCAAGCCAATGGAAAGCTCTTCTTGTTTAAAAATCATAAGTACACGTCCAAACCCACTGCTAAGCCTTATGCTAATAGCCCTGTACATGAACACAGGTGTTTAGCATACCCCACCATACATCACTGTACTGAGTTTAAAAAACTGGACATCATGGAATCACATCTGATAGCTAGAGAGAAGCTTCTCCTGTCGAAAATTGGGTTTCAGGGCTACGGGTTTATGTTCATCCACATGGCAATGGGCTCCAGGCATAAGCCTCAGACCCGGGCCTCAGACCCAGCCTTGTGCCCATTACAAAGTTCAGCTGTCAACATTTACACCTTGTGTTTCTGCCTGCATACAATGTCTCATTTGTTTCACATCTCATGACACTGCAACCCAACTTGTAAGGTGAATGCTTATTTCTTTTCAAGAATCCAAAATCCTATTCCATGTCTTTTTCCCTGCAGAACCATTACTTTGCTACCAAGTGCGCACTTATAAAGGAAACCTCTTTGATAGTCTGACAGAAAGTAAGACGGATCATTCACTGGTCTCCTTTTTTATCTGGAACATGTCATGACATGTTTACCATGGCCAGGCTCCACATATTCTGCAGGTTTTTGCTCCACTTATGATGCATCATACTCGATACAAAAAAAATAAGATTTCTCCTTTGCCATTACGGTTGACGGCCCGGTCTTCTGTAAATTGAAATTCTCGGGTACGAAAAAGCTAAATTACAAAAGTGATGCATCTGATTGGTGTACGTGACTGTATTTCAGCCAAACCTAACACAATGGGACAACATTGTTCATTTGTCTGTTTTCTGGCAAAGGGAAATTGCTTGGTCTTATTTGGTTTTATTAGTTTTTATGATTTCAAGGATTCCTTCCTACCTTTTTTTCTGCTAAAATTAATTTCTTCAACTTGTGAAAAGAAACATCAAATGCCAAAATATGCTCAGTTTCCAAACACTGCTGAATCAAACATGGCACAGAGCACACAAAAGCAGAAAAGGAACTTTTCCTTCAATTTCTCACTGGAGCACCGTGCCCAATTTGCTTCCATCCAAAATTTGAGCCAACTCAACCTACATTTTTAGGGAGCAATACCAAGACACTAAGGCCTACGTAATACCACTGTGGCCAAGTTGGGCATGTCTGTGCTCGTCAGATTTCAGAGTTTTGCATTTCTGTGAATTGGGGAAGTTGTCAGGCTATAAAGGAGTCAAAATCTTGTTCTACTCACATGTTCTAGAAGGTTTATTTTCTCCTGTAGCTCCGCGTTCTTCCTGGCTAAGGCTGTGTTCTGGATTAGTGCATTCTGGTAGTCTGTCGACTGTCAAAGTAATCAGAAGTTTTCATTCTTGAAAACAAAATCAAATATCCCAGCCTTTCTATGGTGTTTGGTGCATGTACACACAGAGGATACAATCCTCCAAGCTGAAAGACACCGCCATGCAAGTAACTCCAGGGATCTGGCACCAGCAGCCGATTTCACGAAACATGGCGTGACTTTAACCACTCGTAAGCCTCGCGGCACAAATTTATGCCATAGCTGCACAATTATACTTACATTCCATTTGAAGAGAAGTTGCATAGCAGTACCATGTTTTAATAATAAACTGGCGGCTGTTCCCTTCCAATATAGCATCAGTCATCAAACAGTCGATCAATCACCTCCACTTGCCATTTTGAAAAGTTTTTGTCTTTTCTTCATTGGAACCGGGTGAAAATTTCAAAGTTCTTTTAAAACCAAACAAGTTTTTCATTTCCTTCTACAACAAAGTTAACCAAACACGATGAGCTTGTCAAATCATTTAGTTTCTCTTCATTTGACACAACCAACACCACCCAAAATCTGTTGCGTAAGTGGCAGGAAATTCATGAAATTGGTCTTAATTTGTCGTGCAACTTATGCAATAAAATGTGGCATGAGTGGAGTTAAACCATTTCGTAAAGTTTTGTGAAATCCGCTGCAGGACCAAATTTCTAAAACCTCAACTCCTCCATTTTAGGTCCCTGAGAAGATCGAGGCTTACTCAGCAAGCTTGTACGCATCTCCAAGCATGGAGACGGGCACGGGCACCTTAGTACCAAGCGTTGGATACAGGATGCGCAACTGGTGGAAAATTCGAATGATTCCATTACTAATGACGAAAGAAAAACAACTCACCACATCAGTACACTTTCTTCTTTCTTCAGAGAGAGCCTTCTCAAGATTCTCGCATGCTAGTCTCTGCTGAGTGACCTCAACCTCCTGCATAGGCAGAAACAAATAAGAAACATACTTCTTTAACATCGTGAAACAAAGAGTCATTGAGCTCAAGGCCCTTTAACCACTTGCTGCTGGGGAGCACGGTTTCAGACAAATATTCTTTATATGCACAGCCGGTATGTCCAAAATCAGACACAAGGGAACTGGGCCTTGTAACAAAAGACTGTACTCGGAACAAAAGACCTGGCTGCTAGGAATTACCAGCATTTTTTTCACCGTCAATAGTGGAGATAATCCAGCATTGTTTTGAAACAGTGTACCACTGTTTCTGGCATTCAGTGCAAGCCACACAGTACTGCTGCACGTTAATCTGGACCCTATTGAAAAGATGTCAGCAGCGCACTGTGCCAGTTTTGGGAATAAAAGAAGTAACACCACAAAATCTGGGCCCTTATTACAAGGCAGCAGGCCTGGCTGATATATTCCGGCATCAATAGATGTTGTCTGTCAGATTAGAGTAGGGAACCAGACAGTCATTCTTGTGGGTGTAAGTGTCCCGTAAATGAAGATATGAATTTTTAAGAATCTTGAAAACAGAAAAAACAAAAATTACTCCGGCCAAGCAGAATCAACATTTATAAATGCCCCCAGCCCGAAGTGGTTAATTAAGTTGAAGTGCAAACGACCCTAGTCAACCATTGTCAGGTCATGAGGCCAAAAGGGAGAAAAGTGGCTGCGGAAGGGCAAAATAGCAAAAATTACAGTGACATGGTTGTTTACTAGTGGCATAGTGTTTTTTCTTAAACAGAATTTTTCTTATACTGATGCTTTCTACACTGTGATATTAAAAACGGTTTATGGTAAACAACAATGCGACCAACCTCGACGGGCTGGTTGTGAATAGTTGACTAGACCAGTCCAACCATCGGTGACTACCATGCGTTCCATCAGAGTTAGTAAAACTATGTTTAACTATGGTCCTTGATCGAACTTGCCCAAGGTTTTAAGAGTCAAGGCACTTGTAATTCATTCACATGTAGATACAAAACTCCTTTCAACAAATCAACACGTCGGTGAAACAAGGTCGTATCTCATGTACAAAAACAAGTTACGACCTTGTTGCAACTGACACGGTGAAATGTTGGTATTATATACATGTACTTTGCTGAATGAATGAGACCGGGAAATTAGACCATCACTGGCAACATATAGAGCAAGTTCTGAAATGAAAAAAATTGTCCTACCAGGCAAAATGGACCAGTGGCTACTGGAACAATCCAGTGACCAGAATTAGAAGCAAATGGTTGCTGTACTGGTAGGGTCTACAGGTCCATATGCTTCTCCACTAACATGCATCCCTTTGCACCTGATTAAGGTGCCACAGTAGCGCAGTAATAATGCTTTCAGATAAGTCTGTGTCTGTGCATCTTTAATGTACAGGTAACTCTGCATACAGAAGCACAACCCCCCCTCCAAAAAAACCGGATACATACATGTAGCACCATACTTAAGTGCTCTCTGGTAAAAACTCGACCAAAATATGATCAACAAGATGTACATGTAGTTAACAGAAAATCATTAACTGAAATTTTTCTTGCTTTCCAGTAACTTATAAGGGAACATTTACATGAAATTCATTTGCCCCAAGTGGGACCAAGAGAGGACGCAATTTTCCTAGCAACAGAGGCTCCGTCGGTGGGAGTTGCACTTCGCCAGTTCAAACGTGTACGCGTTATGCTTACGTCACTACCAACAAAATGAATGCTTCCCACCAACATGGCTCTTTTCAACCAATGAGGGCGTGCTTCTGCTCAAGGCGGATACCTTGAGACACACCTCTTTCTATAATGTGGAGCAATTATGCATGAGCCATGAGCCAAAATCTTCACCCAAATCGACTCCTTTTCAAAGAGAAAATTCTCCTTGAATGGCTTAACCCTTTTAGACTCCTCTCAAGGAGACAGCCTGTCCTTGGGGACAGCATACTTCAGAATAATCAACTTAAAAGGGGTAGGACAGGATAAACCCAAATGGTTCTACATTGGCAACTCATCACAGCAAACAAACAAGCGTCTGAAGACTGGCCATGGCATGATTTTTCTCCTTTTTTTTTTACTCTTCATCAATTCCATCAATTTGGTAATATGAATGAAAATTCCAGGGTGGAGAGCTGAGAAATTTGTCGCAAAATGTCAGGGTCGAGGTAACACTGCCTTGAGAATGAAGCAGGGCTAATAAGGGTAACGAGCGGCAGTGACGTAGAGCTGTCACAGAGTAGGCCTGATTTGATGAGGGAAAGAAAGACACAGAGGAGCAACGAGAAACAGACGATGTTGCGATTCAGTGGGATTCAGTGAAAATCTGGGATGTGGCTCAAAGGGTAGACAGGGAAAAAAAAGGTAGAAATGTGATACGTGGACAAAGATTTCTTTCTTTTTTTGAGAGAGAGAGAAAGAGGAGTTTATTTCATGTCGGCGAAATATGAAATCCCAAGTACATCAAAAACATACAAACAGTGAAATTTGTTGCAACAATTAATGGGAACTGGTGTATCAAGTTTGATAATTGTTCACAGTCTAAATTATTACCAACATGTAGGGGAAAAAAGCACTATGCTTTTGGCTTTCCCTATTTACACGAACAATGGTTCAGACTGGACAAGAAACATAAGACAGGAGACATGAGACAACACAAGATACACTGGCAGGATAGACAACAGTTAAAGACAGATGTGCTAGATGTTGAGACCAGACCTTTAAAGAATGGAAGTGGACTGGCATGATTACATGATCTACGTATTTGCGCACATACATACATGTACACCTGTTAGGGTATCACAGATTTCTAAGCATGTCTTCACACAGAGCAGGAAATGATCCACAGTGCCTGTAGCAAATGTGCACAGTGTATTTGCTGGGGGGCACTGGAGAAAAAAGAAAAAAGCAAGGACCAAGACAAAAAACATAAGAAACTAAGAGATACATGTAAGATCCTGTGTGTAGAAAAGATTACCCCCAAAAAAGAGCAGGTTCAGTTTTTTTGTTTTGATGCCATCACTCGGCCTGATATTCTGAGAAATACAGACAGTAAATGGGTGAGAAACATTGGCAGTTCCCATCAAAGATCGTATAGCGCCGAAGGTGCAAGATGGATCACTCTGCCCAAAAGGTGTCATTACCATGGGCGCCGTTTCAGCAAGCAACACGCCTGCGCAGTTCAAGGTAATGCACAGGCGCAGGTGCACCAGGTGTACATGCCTGCCGCGGCGCCTGCGCCTTTGCATTAATGCGCATTGCGCAGGCGTATCACTTGCTGAAATGGCGCCCATGCGATTACAATGTTTTGCGTGTATTCACGGTGAAGCTCTCCATCTTGCGCTGCTATGCAGCGCTATATGATCTTTGGCTCCCACTGATTTCTATTACCCAATATCTTTTAAATACCTGTAGAACTCAAAAGGCTCTCCCGCAGCATCAGACTTACATGTACAAGTATAGTGGGGTGGGCACACACAAGTACCATAGGTTGGGCCATGCATAACACACTCTTTGCCCAAAGTACCAACTGAGAAAATTTGTGTGACCCTTCCAAAGTTTGTACGAGCCAATCAGTCTCTTCCACTTTCACCCAACATGAGTGACCTTGACAGGTACAATCAACTTTGCGATCTTTCTGTCTTTCCCCAAAGCAGGTTCCAGTAGCACTTCTGCCATGCTACATTGAAGGGAATGGGGAGACAAGGTAGAGTGTAAATACATCACGTAGGGAGACTTCCATTAGAGAGGGCCTGTGAAAACATGCGGGGGGACGTGAGTGTCATTACAAACACTCACCACAGCCAAATATACGCGGGCGGCCAGCTAATAAGGATTTCTTTTTTTTTCTTTTTTTTTTGCTGGTGTTTTCAGAAGGGCAAGATAAACAGCGATGATGCCCAAGAATCTTTCTCTGTGCATGACACGATCCTTTTAGATTAATCCGCCTGACCTTGGAGTGGCTGACAGCGACAAATTGGTTGTCATGGTTTCCAAGATCAGGACTTTGACATTCACCACGTAAAAAATAAGGAAGAAAATCTGCATTGAAGAAGGTAAGGCAAGATAACAAGTCAGAATATGACTGCACATGGGAACATCTACCTTCAGATTATCACCCTGTGTGCCACATGTAAATTCATCTATGATTTACATTTCAAGCTCCATCAATTTAACACTAACATTCACTCTCAAAGATGAAGCAATTTCGCACTTAATCAGCAAGAGAATACTTTTGAAATGTCATGATGGATAAATACAAATATGTACATTTGAAAATTAATGAAAATTTACTACAAAACAAGATTCAAGGTTCCGGCAAACAGACAAAGTTCAGACAGCTGCCCAGCGGGAAATACATGTAACTCATGCCAGGAATTACAAAAAAAAAATCGTTCAAATTGAAATAAAAAAAGTCAACAAATGGTGAACACAGACGACGGACAGATACACTTCAATCATTGCTACTCTGCTCAGCTCAAATTGAGACAGAATTTGTCCAGGTAGCCAAGGGCAACCGGGGATAGTTATTAATGGTCAGATGGTGCAACACCTCTGACCAGCAACGGGCAAGTCTGGCCAAGGACGCTGCAATGGCTGCTATAATTCATTCCTTTTATTGAATTGCCACCAATTACTGGATCGTGTTGTCTTTGTTGCCAAGGCACAGGAGAGCACCTCAGAATTTGCTGGAGGTCAAGGCAAAAAATTTATGGGTTCAATGGCAGGGGTGTAATAAAATATCACTGCCATTTTGATGAGTTTATGTGATGGATTTCTGCTGATGAATAGGCCGGGCTGGTGTGTTAGCCAATGAACAAAGTTCAGCAGTTCTGCAGTTCATCGCAAACTTTGAAATTGCCAACTGTTAACATCTATTCATAAATACCTGAGACGGTTAGCCATTCCTATTGCTGAAGAAGCCCATAACACAGCCAGTCTTAAACAGTTAGGCACTGGCTGGCCGATCTTAAATACTTTTCTGGTGTCAAACGAACTTCAGACTCC